AAATTAGATATAATTATGAAGATATGTTTATCTGATTCTGTTTATATTCAAAATGTTATTTTTCAAAGTGCGGAACACAATTTTATTTATTTGTTCCTATTTAATAAAGCTAGTCAAAATGGCCTAGGGAAGGGAAGAAACAACTAACTTTCCTGATTTCATTGCATTTTTCCATTGTTTATGAAAATAATCTGTTTTGAAAGTTCATTTTTCAGCATAAACATTTATTGTTTAAAAATGTGCCAAACTCTACTATGTTATATACAATTATGACACAACACTAGATGAAGACAAAGTAATGATGAAATACTAGAACTGGAAGTGACCTAGAGAGGTCATCAAGTCCAGTCCCCTGCCCTCACGGCAGGACCATCTAGATCATCCCTGATATATGCCTATCTAACCTGCTCTTAAATATCTCCAATAATGGAGATTCCACAGTTTCCCTAGGCAATTTATTCCAGTGTTTAACTACCCTGACAGTTAGGAAGCTTTTCCTAATGTCCAACCTAAACCTCCCTTGCTGTAATTTAAGCCCATTGCTGCTTGTTCTATCCTCAGAGGTCAAGGACAGGCCAGGCCATTGGGCAAGGTGAGTGAGGAGGTTGCCTTGGGCTCCACACATTCAGGGTCCTGTGCTGCCCAGCTCCCGCCCACCTGGCTGCTCACTTGCTGCCATGACTGGGAGTCGCCCCGGCCATGTGGCTCAGCTAACCACAGTGTGCTGCCTTGGTCCCCACAAACTCTTTGGCCAGGCCTGATCAAGGAGAATTTTTTTCCCCTCTACTCCTTGTAACACCCTTTCAGGTACTTGAAAACTGCTATCATGTCTCCTCTCAGTCTTCTCTTTTCTAAACTTAACAAAGCCATTTCTTTCAGTCTTCCCTCATAGGTCAAGTTTTCTAGAACTTTCATCATTTTTGTAACTCTTTTCTGGACCTTCTCCAGTTTCTCCTCATCTTTCTTGAAATATGGTGCCCAGAACTGGACACAATACTCCAACTGAGACCTAATCAATGCAGAATAGAGTGGAAAAAGGACTTCTCATGTCTTGCTCACAACACACCTGTTAATGCATCTCAGAATGTTTGCTTTTTTTGCAACAGCGTCACACTGTTGACTCATATTTAGCTTGTAGTCCACTATGAACTCTAGATCTCTTTCTGCAGTACTCCTTCCTAGACAGTTGCTTCCCATTCTGTCTGTATGTGTGAAATTGATTGTTCCTTCCTAAGAGGAGTACTTTGCATTTGTGCTTATGAAACTTCATTCTGTTTACCTCAGACCATTTCTCCAGTTTGTCTAGATTTTGAATTCTGATCCTGTCATCCAAAGCACTTGCAACCCCCTCCGAGCTTGGCATCATCTGCAAACTTAATAAGTGTACTCTGTGTGCCAGAGGCGGGGGAACCTTTTTTGGGTCAGGGGCCGCCGACCCACAGGAAAATCATTCGTGGGCTGCACAGAAGTGAGAAGCAAAGTGAGAATCCCCTGACTTAGAAGGACAAAGAAACTCGTCACATTCCCCTCACACACCAGAGCCGAGGGGGACCCAGGCTAGTAGATTTTGTGTGCTCCAGCCTGTGTGTGAGTTCAAGGGCACCATTTTGGGAGAGTAGAAGGGGTAGCAGCTGTGCACTCTGGGACACAGCTTGCTTTTTATCCTGTTCCCTGGACGATGAAGATGTGAGGGGAATGTGCTTGCATTCCATGCATGCCTCGCACCTGGCTCGTGAGCTCTCTTCACCAACCAGGTGTGAGAGGCATGCATAGAATGGTACCCTTAGGCCCCCCAATGCGGGGGGCATCCCTGAGTCTTGGGCCCAGATCCAGGCAAGTCAGGGGCTGCATACAGCCCCTGGGCCTGAGGTTTCCCACCCCTGCTCTATGCCAATATCTAAATCGTTGATGAAGATATTGAACAGAACGCCTTGCACCTGGCTCGTGAGCTCTCTTCACCAACCAGGTGTGAGAGGCATGCATAGAATGGTACCCTTAGGCCCCCCAATGCGGGGGGCATCCCTGAGTCTTGGGCCCAGATCCAGGCAAGTCAGGGGCTGCATACAGCCCCTGGGCCTGAGGTTTCCCACCCCTGCTCTATGCCAATATCTAAATCGTTGATGAAGATATTGAACAGAACCAATCCCAAAACTGACCCCTGTGGAACCCCACTTATGCCCTTCCAGAATGACTGTGAACCATTAATAACTACTCTCTGAGAATGACATGCATCTGACCGTCGAAGGAGGCATGTAGTCTAGACACACCCTAAGGTGCCACTGGACTCCTTGCCGCTTTTGCAGATTCAGACTAAACACAGCTACCCCTCTGATCTCTGAGAATGGTTATCCAGCCAGTTACGCACCCACCTTATAGTTTCAGAATGATGGCATTTTATTACTGCTAGTATTACCTGTCCCATTGTGATGGTAGACATGCATGTGCTCTCCTCCCTCCCTGTTGTTACCCAGGGCAGGGAGGCTTGGGCTGGCTTGGGCCGCGCGGCCTCCTGGGGCCAGGGAGGCTGGAGCCATGTAGCCCCCTCACTTTCTGCTGCTCCTAGGGCCAGGAAGGCTTGGGCCACGGGGCCTCCTCCCGCCTCACTGCTCTAGGGATACTGGGGCACATACATGCTTTTCCCCGCCCTGTGGTGTTGGTGGGGCGTGCGCATGTGGCCTCCTTCCTCCCTGCTGTTCCCAGGGGCAGGGAGACTCGGGCTGTGAGGTCTCTTCCCTCCTCACTGCTCCTGGGGGCAAGGAGAGTGTTGGGGCCATATGTCCTCTTTCCTCTCTGCTGCTCTGGGGATGCTGGGGCACCACACATGGCGGGGGTGTGTGCATGCTCAGTGTGCTGCTCCTCCTCCACTCCTCCCCATGGTGGGGGCAGGGCCTCAGCAGAGAGGACGGGGCTGTAGGTGGGGGTGGGGGACTGCCTCCTCCTAGAAACTTCTCAAGTCTTCTCAAATGTTCTCTGTAACAGACGGCATGACGGACACCTCTCCTTTCATAAATAGTATAGATTATTGCTATTAGTTGTATTATCACAGTGATCAGGAGCACCAGTTAAGGACTTGGTGCGATGTGCTGTCCAGACACAGAACACAAAGACAGTCCATGCCCCAAACAGTTTTCAATCTAAGTATCATGGCAGAAATTTTAAGATACTGGAGGAAATGATCCTTCAGAATATTCCCTTAAAACTTTCCTTTTTCACAATCATCTCTGCATTCGTATTACACCAGCTCCTGAAAGTCTATCTTCTAGAAAAGAGGTGGAGTTTTGCAGAAGCTGATCCGCTGTTCCATAGATATTCTGACTGAAGGTACTTCCTGTGTGAGGCATGGAAATTTTGGTCGTAATACTGCAACTAGGGATGTGTCACTTAACCTTTTTGCTCAGCTCACATGAAGCTTCTTGAAGTCACTGATGCTGAGTCCACCCATGTGGATCCAATTACACCTATGGGACCTTTCAACATATTGCTATGGATGACAAACCAACTGCTATGTATACAGGCAGTCCCCGGGTTACCTGGGTTGGTCCCCCCCGCTGCTGGGTTGGTCCAGTTCAGCCGCAGACCAGGGGGACGGGGAGCAGAGCGGCGGCTTTGCTCTGCTCCCCGTCTCCCTGGTCTGCAGACGCGTCTGGGCTGTCCGCGTGCTCCACGGCTTTGCTCTGCTTTGCTCCCCGTCTCCCTGGTCTGCAGACGCGTCTGGGCTGTCCGCGTGCTCCACGGCTTTGCTCTGCTTTGCTCCCCGTCTCCCTGGTCTGCAGACGCGTCTGGGCTGTCCGCGTGCTCCACGGCTTTGCTCTGCTTTGCTCCCCGTCTCCCTGGTCTGCAGACGCGTCTGGGCTGTCCGCGTGCTCCACGGCTTTGCTCTGCTTTGCTCCCCGTCTCCCTGGTCTGCAGACGCGTCTGGGCTGTCCGCGTGCTCCACGGCTTTGCTCTGCTTTGCTCCCCGTCTCCCTGGTCTGCAGACGCGTCTGGGCTGTCCGCGTGCTCCACGGCTTTGCTCTGCTTTGCTCCCCGTCTCCCTGGTCTGCAGACGCGTCTGGGCTGTCCGCGTGCTCCACGGCTTTGCTCTGCTTTGCTCCCCGTCTCCCTGGTCTGCAGACGCGTCTGGGCTGTCCGCGTGCTCCACGGCTTTGCTCTGCTTTGCTCCCCGTCTCCCTGGTCTGCAGACGCGTCTGGGCTGTCCGCGTGCTCCACGGCTTTGCTCTGCTTTGCTCCCCGTCTCCCTGGTCTGCAGACGCGTCTGGGCTGTCCGCGTGCTCCACGGCTTTGCTCTGCTTTGCTCCCCGTCTCCCTGGTCTGCAGACGCGTCTGGGCTGTCCGCGTGCTCCACGGCTTTGCTCTGCTTTGCTCCCCGTCTCCCTGGTCTGCAGACGCGTCTGGGCTGTCCGCGTGCTCCACGGCTTTGCTCTGCTTTGCTCCCCGTCTCCCTGGTCTGCAGACGCGTCTGGGCTGTCCGCGTGCTCCACGGCTTTGCTCTGCTTTGCTCCCCGTCTCCCTGGTCTGCATACCAGGGGGACGGGGAGCAAAGCGGTGGGACACGCGGGCAAAGCAGAGCAAAGACGCGTCTGCCTGGATGATACTACTGCTTAGCACTCTTAGTAACAATACTACTTAGCACATATGGGCTACATCTACACTGCAGAGTTTTTGTGCGTTTTTGTGCAAGAAAATTTACAGTACATAGTAAGATGAGAGGGCTTTTTGCACAAGCGTTATTCCTCTTTCTATGAGGAATAAGCCTTTTTATGCAAGAGCTCTTGTGCAAAAAGGTGTGTCTGGATGGCAAACAGGTTTCTTGTGCAAAAACAGCCTATCAGAAAAAGCACAGGTGCTCTGATGGCCATTCTGTTAATGGCCATCAGAGCTTTATTGCACAAGTGTGGACGCTCTCTTAGGTGAGAACCCTGCAGTGTAGATGTAGCCATGAAATGGTTTATAATTTCAGATAACTGGATCCATATTAACTAATAAATGTTTCAATTGAGTCACCTCTCATCTTGTGTGTCTGCTACCATATAAACTGAGTAGTTTTCATTTTCAGTAAAAGTTGGGTTATCCAGAGAGTGGACAGTATGGTACAGAAGAGAGATTGGGGAAAGAATTGTTGAATCACTGGGGAAAGCAGCATCACAATGATTGAGCACTGGATGCAGACAGGCAGGATTCACAGCAATGTCTTTGTGGGCGGGATAAGGAGGAGGGATGTACTGTACCACTGTAGCACCATGTGAAGTTATAAATTGGTTAATTCTAGTGAAAATAAGGGATAACCCAGTTGGAGGCAAGTCTGTAGTTGATGCACTTTCATAATGTTCTTTGCAAGATTCACGTAGCAGTATTTTAAATTTGCACATGGCAATAAAAACAAAAGTCACACCAACAGAGAGCAGAATAGGCCCGAATAGCTGAGTCCGCTCAAGGTGAATAATGCCAGCATATTAGATCCATTGCATTACTGTGAAAGTGATTTCCACCACCCCTAAAATGCACCTGAAAAGAGTAAAGTGGTACCAGCTTTGTCATCCTCTGACACCAGGACATCAGATCTGTTGGCCTGATATGGACTGACAGAAAATACACTGAAAGAGAAATCTTCAATACTGCTGTTGTTCTGCTCCATTGATATACATCAGTTTTCTTTGGTCTCAAGTGAGATGGAATTTATAAGAGATCTTAGGTTGCATTTAAAAGCAATGGGTCAGATTAGTTATATAAGAACTTTGCATGTGTATGGTTAACTAAGTGCATCATGCGAAGGAATAAACTTTGCTTGGAAGAATAAAGGTCTGGGAAGTGAAGCCTGAAGTGGTTCTCTTAAAATGCCTTGAATTATCTATTGCTAGGGTGCTTACTTCTGGAAACTGCTTTAATATTTCATGACTGTTTGTCCTTCTATTTGTCCTATTATTTAACTTTGGCTGTTTCTTATGGCACCAATGCTTACTTAGAGAGACATATAGCTGCCATATCTCAATTTCCAACATATTGACAACATACATATATTTGGGCACTAGCACTGAGATGTCTCTGTTAATCCTCTGGGGGCAATCACTCCCATAACCAAAATCGGTAGGGTTGTATATCAAGAAAATGCACCACAAGTAGAACATAATTAGGCTGAATGCTTTGCAACACTAGGTACTGTGATACTTATAGCTAAGGCTGGACTTATGTCACAACTTTGGAGTCCAGAACTTTCATGATCTGAAAACAAAACTGTTAAAGATCCTTGATTTTTTTTTAAGGTCAAAAGGGGTTGTGATCATCTAAACCAGGGCTACTCAACACGTGGCCCATGGGCTGCATGAGGCCCACAGCCCATTCCTTTGCGGCCTGCGATGCGGTTTGGGTTTACGTGGAGCTCAACACATGGCTCATGGGTGGGAGCCAAACCAAAAAAGTAGTCAATATAATGGTCTTCACACTTAAGTCGTGGCCCTCAGCATGCACTGTATCATTGTGGCCCCTGGGGCTTCCAAAGTTGAGTAGCTCTGATCTAAACTGACTTCTTTCATTAGGAGCCTCTTTTGTTGTTTAAAAATCTCAATCAGAGCTGAAACCAGTCATGGTAGGACTGAGTTTCTGCCCTGCCTGCTAAGAGCTAAATCACTGAGAGCTGAAATCACTTGAGATGGGGCCAGTGTTTCTGCCCAGCCTGCAAAAGAGCTGAAAATTACTAAGAGACTGATGTGCAGAGATCACAACAGAGAGGCAGGCGGCAGAAGAAGATGATAGAAAATCAACTAGTAAATAAGCAGGCAGCAGGGTGGTGGCAGAAAGTTGCGACAGTGGAGAGCCATGGTGAGCGGCCATTAACAACTGTGGAGGGGGGACTGAGGGGAGTGCAGAGAAGGGTGAGGCATGTGAAAGGGGCTTTTTGGTTGCTGGATTTAAGAACCTGAAGGGTAAAGGGCACTGCCCACCCTACTTGGGGGATGGGTCTCTTACTCATGGTTTATGTTTATAAGTTCTGCTTGTAAAACAGAAACTTATAATAAAAGGAGGGAAACAACTCAGATTTAATTTGGAAAAACATTGCAAACACACTCTGGGCTTGTGAGTGGGGAAGTATGGCCTCTTGGAGATGCCCAGGCGTGGTGTATAATTGTCCCAGATTACTGGGTGAGGTCTCCACTCAGTTCTGTGTTGTATCAACGGTCCTGCTGTGAGGGCAGGAGACTGGACTTGATGACCTCTTGAGGTCCCTTCCAGTTCTAGTGTTCTATGATTCTATTAAAGGACTCCCTAGATATTGAATCCTGCACTAGCTACTGCTGGCTCACCCTGGCAGAAGGGTTACAATTTAAAAATGTAGATACTAGAATTAGATACATTATTATCGTTGGTGTAGAGAGGTATAATGTCATCTCTATTCCTAGTTGATATTTCCATTTAGAAACTCAAAGGTCAAGTAAACACTTTTTATTGGAAGCACGTCTTCAGTTAAAGTTATTTACAATGGCCCTTACATGTAGTTTAGTTACTGCTTTCCAGGATACACGATCCACTACTAAGCTGTAAGCATCACCTATACTCTGTGATACGTTTTACTGATAGTTACACAACAGGGGCTATGGCTACACTGGCAGCTTCTTGTGCAAAAACTCTTCCAGAAGAGAGCGTCTACACTGGCATGTGCTTTTGCGTAAGAGACGTGCTTTTACACAAGAGCATCCATGCCAGTATAGACACTCTCTTGCACAAGAAAGCTCTGATGGCCATTTTAACCATAGGGCTTTCTTGCGCAAGAAATTCATGTTGCCTGCCTACACTGGCCTCTTGCGCAAGAACAGTTGTGCAAAAGGGCTTATTCCTGAGTGGGAGCGTCAGAGTTCTGGCGCAAGAACCCCTGATTTCATACATTAGCACGTCAATTTACTTGCGCAAGAACACGTGGCCAGTTTAGACAGGCAGCAAGTTTTTGCGCAAGAGCGTCCGCTTTTACGCAAGATCGCACAGTGTAGACACCACCCAGGAGTAAATGAAAAGTACAATTGACTTCTTCCTAGGCCAGGGTTGGGCAATAATTTTTCCAGGGGCCCACTCCAAGAATTGTCAAGTGGTCAAGGGCTGCACTCTTCCATGATATTAATGGAGGAGGCATGGGGTCTGGGATGGAAGTTGGGTAAAGAAGGAAGCTTGAGCTAAATGATTGGGGTGTGGGATCTGGGTGGGAGTTTGGGTGAATAAAGGGGTTGTAATCTGCGGCAGGTGATTGGAGTGCAGGGTCTGAGAGGGTGTATTGGTGTAGGAGAGGGGCAGAGGGTTTAGGTTATCTGGGGTAGGGGGCAGGAGTGGGTGAACAGAGGGATGGGAGGAGGGAAAAGCTGGGGTACCAGAGGCAGCTTGCAATATCTAGGGAGTCCTTTAATAGAATCATAGAACACTAGAACTGGAAGGGACCTCAAGAGGTCATCAAGGTCATCAAGTCCAGTCTCCTGCCCTCACAGCAGGACCGTTGATACAACACAGAACTGAGTGGAGACCTCACCCAGTAATCTGGGACAATTATACACCACGCCTGGCCAGGAGATGCAAATCCCAGCCAACAGCCCAGCAGGTTCCCTGCTTCCATGCCCAGGCAGGCTTCTCAGAGAGGTCAACTTCAGGGCATGTATGTCCGTGAATAGCTGTGAGCCCAAGGGGCGGCAGCAAGAGTACTTCATGCGCTGCTTGTTCTTCAAACAGGCATCTCCCATTAGCTGGAAACCAGCCAATGGGAACTGCAAGATTGTGCTGGGGGCAGGGGCACTGTGCAAAGCCGTTCCACCCTGGGCTCGCAGCTATTCACAGACAAACTGAGCCTCACACCCAGCTTTTCTGAGTAGCATGCAGAGGTGGGGCAGGCAAGGGGCTTGACTATGCCCATGGGGCATACTCAGCAGCTTGGTGGACTGTATCTGGCCCATAGACTATATTTTGCCTGGCTCTGTCCTAGGTCCTTGGTACCTTGAATTGCTTAAAATGGGCTAGAGCAGTGTTTTTCTGTTTGGGGTGGATGATAGAATTTGAAGTATTTAAATTAAAACCCTAATTTTCTTCCCTAAATTAAGCAATTTTTTCTGCTTCCAGGGTGAAATTTAACCCCTGGCAGATGACTCACACAAGGCCTATGGAGTATTCAAGTTCCACATAAGCTCTATTTAATTTATTCTGGATCACAGCTCAGAATCTGCCATGCCCCATTCTTCCTCTCCCCCTGCATCTTGGCTCTGCTTCTCCACTCTGTTCCCCCTCTTCCCTCTGAGGTCCTGCCTTGGGTGGAAGATGGAGCTATGGGAGGGGGACTCCCCATACAGAGATAGGCGAGTTGCTTTCCCAAGCCAACTGTGGCGCTGCCACAAGCTCCCTCTCCCATCCCCCAGTCCCAGCCACTTGCACAAAGTTGGCCTGAGTTTCTATCGTGCCCCACAGGGAGCTGGCCCAGCCTCCCTCCTCCTATGCATGGCTGGCCCGACCCCCACCACTCACCTCTCTATACCTCATTTTGCAACTGGGCATTTGTCCTGCTACTCTTGAAAACTGGTAATCAATTGGCAAGAGCAAATTAGTGCCCTACCATGCAACTTCTATTGGACCAATAGTGTAAAACCTGCTGTTAGTACAGCTGTTTGCAGGTGCCCTTATGATTAGTTGAACCCTTGCACTCTTAGGCTGTGTCTAGACTGGCCAGTTTTTCTGGAAAATCAGTTGATTTTCCCGGAAAAACTTGTCAGCTGTCTACATTGGCCGCTTGAATTTCCGCAAAAGCACTTACGATCTCATGTAAGAAATCAGTGCTTCTTGCGGAAATACTATGCTGCTCCCGTTCGGGCAAAAGTCCTTTTGCGCAAAACTTTTGCGCAAAAGGGCCAGTGTAGACAGCTCAGCTTTGTTTTCTGCAAAAAAGCCCCGATCGCGAAAATGGCGATCGGGGCTTTTTTGCGGAAAAGCGCGTCTAGATTGGCACGGACACTTTTCCGCAAAAAGTGCTTTTGCAGAAAAGCGTCCATGCCAATCTAGACGCTCTGTTCCGAAAATGCTTTTAATGGAAAACTTTTCCATTAAAAGCATTTCCGGAAAATCATGCCAGTCTAGACGTAGCCTTACAGTGCTAGCTTGCTGTGTAGATCCCAGTATGCTTGTCCTGGAATTTCTGGCACTCAGGCCCTGCTATATGTACCTCATTATGCTAGTGCCTTGGTGCAATGACAACATTATGCTAGAAATGTCAATCCTGAATATAGTGCCCTGTAATGATGGTCTCTCTGGGCTGTTAATGTGAACCCTTTATTTTGGTATAGAGTGGTGTTGTTTCCTTATTGGGCCCAGGCTATTAGTGAGACAAAGTGGGGTCAGGTAATAGCTTTTATTGACCAAACTTCTGTTGGTAAGAGACAGATGTTCAAGCTTACATAGAGCTCTTTGCCAGGCCTATAAGCTTGAAGGCTTGTCTCATCCACCAACAAATGCTGGTATAATAATAGATATTACATCATCCGCCTTGTGTCTCTAATGAAAATCTTGTCATTATGGCCTTGTTGGGTGTATTCTAACATACTGAGAGCATGCATCTTGGCCACTAGAGGAGGTGTGTAAATCTTAATGCTACGTACCTACTGCAATTTAGCACTTATGCCATTCTGAGCCTGGTACTTTTAATTTTGGTAGGTATATCCTGATGCCAATCCATAGAAGCAGTAGTTTTTGGAAAGAAGGTGAAACCTGGCCTGCCCTTGCATGGGGGTGCTATGGTCAGGGTAGGTCTCGTGGCCAAGAGGCAAGGAGTATGATGGGCCTGCGGTGCAAGGCCATGGAAGAGAGTGCAGGGCAACAGGGGGAAACAGTGGCTTTTACCACAGTCCAGCTTCAGTTTGTGGCCTGCTCAAGTGGCGTGGCCTTGGGGGAGAGGAGGAGCTGGGATGAGGCCCATGGAGAGGGACGCGTGAGAGGTCTAAATTCTTTTTGTCCAGGGCCCCAATTAATCTTCAGCCATTTCTGCTAACACCAGGAAAGGGGTTCCAAGTGAAGGTTCGGTACTTAGACTGACACATGTATCTCATGTTGGAAAGGGTTGGAGCTTTGTGCTTTTTTTATATGTGACCCTTGGCTCTAAATTTCTTTTAATTTTTTGTCCAAGAATTTAAAAAATCCTGAAGGACTGAGCCCTTAAGTTCCTGGATATAAGGTGCTGATCCTTTTTGGAAGGTACTTTGAAGTTAGTAAGAGAAGCAGATGCTATGTATCTGAAAGGAGTCTTAATAGATATGCTAAGCTTGCTCTCTCTCAAGTTGCCAGTTAAATGTACATCTCATGTCTTAGATACAATGTCCTTTCTTTTAATTGCAGATGAAAAATCTCTCCTTCTGGAAAACACTGATTTTTAAATACAGTATAGCCACACAAGAGCGTCCAACTTAAAAATCAGTTGAAACTGCTGGGAGAAATCAAAGTGATTTATAATAGCAGTAATTCCTATTAGAACAGTCATCCATAGTTAAAGTATTAAAGCATTAACTATTTTCAACTTTGTCTTGAGGCTCTTAATTGGTGGCTAAACCTGACTTTTATGGGGATTACTACTGTAAACATACATGTTCTAAATTAAACTATATGGCATTTGTTACGAGACAGACTAAAATGAAATATTACTAGCATGCACTGACTGCATCTAAACTAAGTAAATAAATGGATATTTTGCAAACTTGGCCTGCAAGTACTTTCCAGAGAACAATAACATATATTTATAAAGCCATTATTTATTTGCCATAGCTCTGAAACTATTTAATTCGAGTTGATCAAAATTAAAAAGCTGGTGTTCAACTTAATTTCTATTATAAAAGAAGCTAAAAATAGACAGTAGATCCATAACAAAATATGAACATCTAACATGGTTGCAGTTCAAACTATTAATGCTGTTGTTCTAAATATTTTAAAGTTACATAGTATTTCTTTAAACCCAAACAGGTAATTTATGTGATGCTGTTTGGCAGTTATAGATACAACCAACATTAATGTTTGCATCATAAAAATAAGTTTAAAAAATGAAAATTGAAGTGTACGATTCCACAGAAAAATGAACTTAGTTCACAGTTCTTTGTGAGGAAGGCTCAGAAGAGGCTAAAGCCATGCAGGAACCAGACCAAGAGGAGGGGGTGGAGCATTTACTGTTGATTTTCTCTCTTCGTATTTTGGCAGCAATTCCAATGGAAGATGCAGAGTAGGTAAGAACTCTGAAGATGAACTGCTCCCAGGAATGGTATATAGTGGTTCATACTCTCTAACAGAAACCATTCCTTGAACATGTGCAAGTTGGGTCCTGCAAAACGTTACACATTAGTACATTCTTATCTCATTTATACTGAGCCAAATCATCCTTCCATTTTATACATGCACATGCAGTGTACATGAAGCCAGTGTGTTCAAGCTGCCGTTTTTTCCTAAAAAGATTGTCTCACTGCAGCAACATATTTTCCACATCTACTATATATTTTAGACCAGGGGAGGGGAATAATTTGATGGGGAGGGGGCCACTCCAAGATTTTGGAAAGTGGTTGAGGACCATACTCTTCTATGATAGTAATGGAGGAGATGCAGGTTCTGGGATGGAGGTTGGATGCAGAAGGGAGCTTGGGGTAAGGAACTGGGTACAGTAGAGAGACTGGAGTCTGGGAGGGAGTTTGGGTGAAGGAGGCGGTTGTGATATAGGGCAGGGGACTGGAGTGCAGGGATTTGGGATGTGACCATGGGTAAGAGGGTATTGTGATCTGGGACCAGGAGATTGGGGTGCCGGATCTGGAAGGGGATAAGGAGACAGAGGGTTTGGGTATGTTCAGGGGGGCAGAGGAGTGGGGTGCCAGAAGCAGGCTGTGGCCAAGAGACTTTCCTGCTTAATACGTTTCCTAGCCAGCCAGCCTGCCTGCTTGCCTGGCCACATGCTTCATTGAATACCTGAGCTGAGGAGAGGGTGTGTGGTTCTTTTTGGCTGCCTGTTATTCCAACAAGCAGCTCCCATTGGCTGGTTTCTGGGCAGAAACTGGCCAATGGGATTGTGCTGGGGGTAGGGCAGGTCCTGAAAATTCCCCCTCCTCTCCAGTTTTAAAACAGAAATGGAGCCCTGCAGCTGTGTTTTTGCATGGCATGCAGGGCAAGCAGGGGAGCCTTCCTGGGGTTCTCTGCTGCCTTTACGGCCTGGATCCATTGGCTTGGTGAGCCAAATCCGGTCCGTGGGCCATATTTTGCCCAGGCCTGTTTTAGACACTTTGTGCGTCTGTCTGTCTGTGTGTCCATTTGTTCAAGAACTTTTTCTAAATGGCATGAGATAAGACCTCCAAACTTGGTGTGCAGATTCCTCTTAGCTTAACTTAAAGCAAGGCAAGGGCTACGTTGTGCCAGGACAACGGGATGTGCCTGAAATTTCATTGTTTCTCATAAAATGGAAAGGAAGGGGTCTGGTAGGTGGGACAGTTATATTGTAGAATGACTAAAGGGGAGAGCAAGGGGCCAGATATATACTATATGTTTGAGAGTTTGTGTGTCTGTATCCCAGCCTCTGCCCACTGCATTTCTCACCTGGGTCAAAGCTGCTATGTTGAGAGGTCTGGGGTTTCCCTCTTTCCCCAGAACAGCCTGCATCCTGAATCCCTCAACCCCAGCTCCACCCCAGAGCAATGATTTAAATGAAGAAAAACATGTGGGCTTTGCCCACAAAAGTTCATTATACTACATGTATATTTTTGTTAGTCTCTAAGACCAAGTCTACACTACAGGTAAGATGGAAGCAGTCACAGTCAATCTTCCGAGGTTTGAATTAGCAAATCTAGTAAGGACACGCTAATTCAAACTGAGAGGGGTGCTCCCATCGATACTGGTAGTCCTGCTTCTACAAGAAGTAAGGGAAGTCAAAGGAAGCGTACACTCCCTTGAACTTCCCACAATGTGGACGGCACCAAAATTCGACATAAGATACTTAACTGGCCTGGGCAAAACTTAAGGTACGCAATTAACATAGCTGAAGTTGCATTTCTTAATTTGAATTTATCCCCTAGTTTAGATTAGGGGTAAAGTGCTACAGGCATACTTGCTGTTTTAAAAACTTATTTGAATTAAGGACCCGAGCAACGCCAGGTAAATCTAGTTTCCTACAAAAGAGGGCTTTTTATATTTCACTGACAACATTTGAAAAAGCAGAATAGTCACTTAGAAACAGAAGAGATTTTCGTATCTCTTCTCCTTAACTTTGTTCCATCTTTCTTGCCATAATCTACTATAGCCTTACTTTTTCCTTCCTTATAATAGTTAGACGTTCTAAAACCCTAATTATTGAAATTACAATACTCCATTCTCTGACTCCTCAGATGAAGGTGCTCATTATTTTAATGAAGCCTTCCAACAGCCTGAGAGTTTGATCCCGATTGTCCTCCAAGGCATTCTTTTTACTTCATGAAGAATTTTCTATCCAGTATGAACAGGAAGAATTTCATCAGTTAGGGTTCAGAAACCAGGAGACAGGTATCCTTGTGCAATTCAGGTAAGAATAGTTTAAAATTAAGATAAAATATTAAAAGGAAGAAATTTGGTGATTTACTGGAAAAATTTATAGTTGTTAAGCATAAAATACATGATGGTTAAGAGTGTTGTCCTAGCTACGTTTCAACCTAAACTTAAACATTGCAGATTCTGGCAAACAAACATGAAGACTCTCTTATCCATTATTTTCAATACTGTGGTATGGTAGAGGATTTTCACTCATAGGCAGGTTGGTGGCAAGTGGCTTATGAGTTATAGGTGGTGATAAAGAGTCAATAAAACGAAGTGGTGGAAATGTCATTACAGCATCACCTAAAGAGAAAAAATATCACTAGTAATATATGAAAATTTAACTCCTTTGCTGCCCCTCTCTCTACTGTGCCAATCTAGACGCGCTTTTGTGCAAAAAAGCCCCGATCGCCATTTTTGCGATCGGAGCTTTTTTGCACAAAACAAATCTGAGCTGTCTACACTGACCCTATTGCATGAAAGCTTTGCGCAAAAGTACTTTTGCCAGAATGGGAGAAGCATAGTATTTATGCAAGAAGCACTGATGTCAGACAGTAGGAAGTCAGTGTTCTTGCAGAAATTCAAGCGGCCAGTGTAGATAGCTGGCAAGTTTTTCCGCAAAAGCAAATGCTTTTGTGGAAAATCATGCCAGTCTAGACGTAGCCTATAATTATGCACTGCTTAATCTGAACACTAATTAGACATAACATGCTATGAAGTTGGACAATGAAGTATCATTTATCTTATTCAGAACTTTGAATTTTGAAGGGGTTTTAGTTTTTAAAGTGGACAGCCAACTAGTCCACTAGCCAACAGTCAGCTAGTTCTCCTAATTAAACAGGTACAAGAACCACTTCTCCTTTTCCTATTCAACTTTTTGTGTCTTTGTCTCTCAAGTTTATGTAAAACTGAACCTCTATTCTTGGAAAGTGTTTCAATCATCTTCCCAGAATGACAGTAATTAGGCAACACCTATCTACCCAACATTAATACTTCATGTTATCACATGAACTTGCTCTGCATAAAGGATGCTCCTTATATGTTTGCTTAGTCACCCTATTCTGAACATAGGCCCCTCAAGGAAGACAACAGAATTTAGATCTTTTCCAATATGCTGTAGGAGAGGAAGTGATTGCTGGCTTACTAAACACACACAAATAGCATCTTGCAGGGACCATTCATACAACAACATTAATACTAAAGTTGAGCAGAGCACCTGTTGCCTAAATAAAGTGATTCTGATAAGGTAGAGATGGACACTCAAGACTAGTGAGTGGGGCGCATAAGTGGCCCTCCTTTGTCTCAGAGGGCTGCAGTGGTGGGCAACCTGCAGCTCACTGAGGTTCCATCAGCAGCATGTGCACCGCCTCCTTAGCCCTCCTTCTCCACGACTCACACATGTGGGCACTGGAGCCCCATACTTTCTACTCCTCCCCTTCCCTTCCAGCACTTCTGGAGCATCATGAATCCACTGATTTGCACCCCATACCCACTCCTCCCACAACTTGAACAGTCATGAACAGCTGATTTGAATCATTCAAGCTCTGGGAAGGAAGGGAAGCAGGAAAGAAGCATGAATCAGTGGATTCATGGAGTTCTGAATGTGCTGGGAGAGATGGGAAGGAGTAGGAAATGCAGGTGCATGAGGAAGGGAGTATAGAGAGGGTGCACGGGCTGCAGGTTGCCCACCACTGTGATAAGGCGATGGAACCAACAACTTATGCCAATCCACATTTTAAGTTCAGGCCTGATCTTAGTGTGTGGGTGCGTCTAGACTGGCAAGATTTTGCGCAAAAATTTGCCAGCTGTCTACACTGGCCGCTTGAATTTGCGCAAGAGCACTGCACTGACTTAGTGATGTACAAAATCAGTGCTTCTTGCGCAAATACTTTCACACTCCCGCTCGGGAAAAAAGCCCTCTTGTGCAAGAATACTTGCTCAAGAGGGCCAGTGTAGACAGGGAAGAATTGTTTTGAGCAAAAAAGCCCCGATGGCTAAAATGGCGATCGGGGCTTTCTTGCGCAAAATCGCATCTAGACTGGCCACGGATGCTTTTGCGCAAAAGCACTTTTGCGCAAAACTATCTGTGCCAATCTAGACGTACTTTTGCGGAAATACTTTTAACAGAAAAACTTTTCCATTAAAAGTATTTCCATAAAATCATGCCAGTCTAGACGCAGCCTGTTTGTATATTTTACTTCTATTAGAACTCGCCATAGTGTGTGTATTAGTTTTGTTTTCTCCCTCAAAGACTATTTCTTAAAATTGCCCCTCATATACTCTGATATCAGCCTCCCAAACCTTCACTGTTTCCTTTTAAGCAGCAAGTTAAATAGTCCTTATGTCAGGCAGAATGAAGACAGAATTGTTTGTGCAATAGATTTCAGGAGGAATGGGTGACAAATCAACCACCTTGCTGCTCAATACCACCTGCTTGATTGGAACAGATCACTAAACATATAGTTTAAAACCTATGAACTATATTCACCCAGAATTAAAATAGTGGCACAAATAAGCGCTACCTTCTGCTGCACATTGTCTCTGACTCATTGGAATCCTCTATTTCAGGGGATGATAGAACAGAATTCCAAGCTAACCTGTATTTTCAATATAGTAATTAAAAAAGCCATGACACCTAAATTTTATAAATGCCTATTTCATTGTCTGGGAAAGGAAATAGGATTTGCAACTACTTATGCTAGATAGCACGGTTTCTTCCACATTTGCCATTGGTGGCTTTTTGTAATTCAAAAGGCATTTTGCCCTGAAGAAAGACAACTGAATTAACTACACTTTACATGTTTCCATAATATGACTTGTTTCTCATTTCGTATGTTAAACTACACACAATAGAAACTAGCATGCAGGTTAGTAAAACTAGCTTTCAAATTTCAAGTACATGCATTTACCTACCTGTGGTAACTTCAAGTGATTCTGGACTCTGAGGCTGTTCTCCATTTTCAAAGGATTCTTGGCTGAGATTTAAATTAGTTTTCTTTTTAATATGAGCTATTACGAAGAAACTTAATCCAATAACCACAATCAAAGGACCTATGATTTGAAGAGGCAGAAATCCACAGCTTGGGAGTTCAATATCAGAAATGCTGGTTTGATTATACTGTAGACTCTGCCTTTCTTGGCTACATCCAGGAACCCAAATTCCCAGAAAACTAATTAGCATTCCACTACCTAAAAACAAAACTCCAAAGATAAGAAAATGGGCAAACTGACAGTTCCCTTGACAAAAAATGAGACTGTACACCTGCTCACCTTGCATCTGTCTCTGTCTTGGTACAACCTAGCTCTTTATTGTGCCAGCAAGGCACAAACTAATCCAACAGCAACAAGCACAGGCCCAGCAATCTTAAGGGCCCTGTTACAGTCACTGAAGGTTCCAGATGGGCATGTCTGTAAAATAAAGATTGAAAGCAGAAATCCAATGCATAGTAATGCAACTCCAAAAACAAAAAGGACAAAAAAATTCCTATGATATTTATTATTTCCTTCCCTACCAAGTCTGGGAACAGCAACAACTGCACACATTAAAAAAATGTCTCTTCAAGCAAGGCAGAAAGATATCATCTCCTGTTAGTGTTCAAAGAGGTAGAAAATTTCTGAAGATCTGTGAATGCAAATATAATTGAAATTAGAGCGTATGTGGGTAACTACATTGTATACTTTTTGTCCGCACTTACTTCTCATCCTGTCCAATGGTCTAAAGCTAGTATATTCCCAAACATCTCATTTTAGAACAAAAGCTTCATGGAAATAGACGTGGGTTATAAGGCAGATAAAGGGAGATCATGAACTTCATATTTATACCACATTATTGTAATATAATTAAGGGAATAATGACTATAATTACCCAATTCTACTTAAGAGGATGTCACCCTATGAGGGGTATATCCTTAAAAGGAAAAATTACCAAGTTTACCTCCAACTTTCAGAAGCCCTGGATATAGGGGCTGATGACACATGCCTAGAAAGTCATAGGTATATGAAAGGGAACCATAATGAAAGAGGAAGATTGGGAGAAAGTCCTGCTTTTGTGGGCAACTAGAGAGGTGAACATCTCATTAAGGATTGACGCTATTGTTCAAGAGAAAAAATTGGAAGGGAATGCAGGGCTGGTCCTTCTCCACATGCTAGAAGAGAACCTTGACTGGAGGGGTTTTGTTGGATAGACGACATTTACCAGTAAAGCTTGAAAGAGATTGCCTGTTGAAAGCATGTGGGTTTGTTGTTCCTCATTCAGCCAGCTGACGGACATGTCAGCTCCTTTCCATAAAAGAATTTCCTGTAGCAGTGTAACTGAAAGAGCTAGGACACTAGAGACAAATTATGGTTCTGATCTGAAAGGTGAGTTTGTAAAGGTAGCATGCTGAGGTTGTATTATTATGGATTCAAAAGTCAGCAAGAAACAAATTTGCTCTTTTTGTAAATTAGAAATGTCTTCTCCAAGTGCTTGCCCTTCAGACAATTTGCAAGCTGAAAGTCAATTACGATCTTTCTTGTTCATAAATAAATTATATTTTTTTGCAGATGAAGGATGACTGTTGAAATAAGTGAGCCCAAACAAAATCCATCTCACTTTCCATTTAGCTGTATTATCTCTACACGGCTAAAACAAAATAAATAAAACCCTGGTAAATTAATATTCATCAGTAGAATATGCAAACATGACTGGCAACAAAAGGGTGCAAGTCTATTGACTAACTGCCATTTTTACATAGCCACTTTTAAGAGTAACATCGCATTTTTTACATAATTAAAATGTACAAAATAACCAGATTTATTATTTATTGAGAGCTGCCAAATAATAAAAATTACAGTAATATAGGACAGAGGCAAGACAAAATGTGATAAGCTTAAGACCAAAGAAAAACAAAAGGACTACTGCAGACTTCAAGGAGGAAGGGCTGTGTCTGTAGCTTATTGCAGGGAGGAACAAAGTCCAGCAGCTGACCGCTTGTCTTGAGATACCAAATGAAGTAGAAAAATTCAGCTAGCCACTGTTAATTACACTGGCTGGCTAATGTAGAAACTCTCATTATGAAGTCTGTTAAGTGTTTCTTCATGATTGTGGGTATTGCTCTAAATTTACCTCTTTGTTGAGAACATCCTTAGCAACTGCTAGCTAAGGAACCTATTGACAATGTGGATTGCTTAAGACTTCCCTATGGATAGCAGTGGGCTTGTGTAAAGCTTTACAGTAAGACAAATTAGAAGTTTTGACAGAACTGTAAACTAAAGAACTTTATCCCTTAGTTAGGAGTAACTGTAATATAACACAAGTACTGATGAAACTGACACTTAAACTGGATTCATTTTTGTTAATAATCTTCCTTGAGTCTACTAGTCTGTCCTTCCCTAACAAAACTGTTACAATGGTGGTGTTTAAAATAAAAATTCTTATAGGTCATAATAAGGTTTGTGTCCTACACATCAAGAGTCAGAAACCCTTTAAAATGCAATTTTATGAAGAATAGTTAATTATAAAGTGGAAAGATTATAAAGGAAAGATTAAATGCCAACATTTTCTTAGCATTCATTAGCCAAAGAACACCAGAGCTTATACTGGAGAAGTTCAGGGCAGATTTGCTAGGTCTTAGGAAGGACTTTCTACGTTCAACAATTTAAAATACAGTATTTGCAGAAACTAACACAGGTAAAAAGGTCCAAACATTTGTAAAAAATTGTGTATGGTGCAGTTTTTTTCCATTCACTTTGGAAACACTCTAAAGAGCATGATATTCTCACTGGAACAAGTAATGAGAACTAGTTGAGCTATACAAAGATATTACCAGGCAAAGTAAAAAGCCAGAAACTGATTCTAGTGAATGGCGCTGAAGACTCACAGGGATCAAAATCACTGCAAAAGTCCAAGTAAACTAATCACATCCCCCAGTAGTTTCAACAAAGACATCATTTCCTGGAATACATTTTCTGATACACTTTTGAAAGCTCCAACCTTAAAATATCAACAGGTAACTTTAGTTAAAAGCAAACCAAACCATGGACTCATATGAAGTAGTATCAGATACAATTTCAATATACAGTGACATTCCTCCATTAAATCCCACTCAAACTAACCAGATAGCCAACTCTTTCTCCTCTCTCAAACATTCAAAATATAAACTAATGAAATAATTGTATAAGACTCATACCTGAACCTTCAGCAGTGACTGAGGAGCCCTCAGTGCAAGACCAAGAGAGTTGCAACAACTGGTTTTAAGTCACTTTTGCACTTATATGGGCTAGGAAATCACACAGGACCCACAGTGTAACTGCTCCAAATTCTGCTGCTTGCCAGCAGCCCAACCCAATCCCTTTTCTTAACTATGCTTTCTGAGTCTGTTGCAGAGAGATGTGACCTAGAAAACCATTATGTTGGCTTTATACCCACTGCAGATAGCCCTATTCTGGGGCAATTGTCTCATCATAAGCAATATACGACTGTATATCAATAGAAAAATGCAAAGCGGCCCTAACAGAGCCAAAGATCTGGGCTAGATCTAAAATAACTGAAATGTTCTAAAGTTAACCAAAAGAACTCCAAGTACAACACACCATTAAAAGTCTTTTCCATATGTTTTTTAACACACAGGCATGGCTGGGGGTAGAGGGGCCAGTAGATTCACATTTTGTTGCTTCCCTAAGCCAAGTTCATTGTACACACCACTGCTTGCATTTCTCTGGTTTTCCCTCTAAGTTCTCTGAGTGTCACCCTCCCATTCCCTTCTATTTCAGGAATTCCCTACTATTCCCTCACAATAGGGGCTCTGCATTGCTCCCATTTCCACCTCAGCGCATGGCCAGGTGATTGCATTAAGTTTGCAGATGATACCAAGCTGGGAGGTGTTGCGACTAATCTGGAGGATAGGGTCATAATTCAAAACAATCTGGACAAATGGTCTGAGGTAAACAGGATGAAGTTTACTAAAGACAAATGCAAAGTGCTCCACTTCAGTTTCACACATACAGAATGGGAAGTGACTGTCTAGAAAGGAGTACGGCAGAAAGGGATCTAGGGGTTACAGTGGACCACAAGCTGAATATGAGTCAGCAGTGTGATGCTGTTGCAAAAAAAGCAAACATGATTCCAGGATGCATTAACAGGTGTGTTGTGAGCAAGACATGAGAAGTCATTCTTCTGTTCTTCTCTGCGCTAGTTAGACCTCAGTTGGAGTATTGTGTCTAGTTCCGGGCACCGCATTTCAAGAAAGATATGGAGAAATTGGAGAGGATCCAGAGAAGAGCAACAAGAATGATTAAAGGTCTAGAGAACATGACCTGTGAAGGAAGGCTGAAAGAATTGGGTTTGTTTAGTTTAGAAAAGAGAAGACTGAGGGGGGACATGATAACAGTTTTCAGGTATTTAAAAGGGTGTCATAAGGAGGAGGGAGAAAACTTGTTCATCTTGGCCTCTGAGGATAGAACAAAAAGCAATGGGCTTAAACTGCAGCAAGGGAGGTTTAGGTTGGACATTAGGAAAAAGTTCCTAACTGTCAGGGTAGTCAAACACTGGAATAAATTGCCCAGGGAGGTTGTAGAATCTCCTTATGTAGAGATATTAAAGAGGAGGTTAGATAAATGTCTATCAGGGATGGTCTAGACAGTATCCTCTCAAGGTCCCTTCCAGTCCTAGTATTCTAGGATTCTATACTCTCTCCAATCCCATTCCAGGTCTCCCACTTCCTCGTTTCACCATGGCAAGGACTTTGTGTGCCTTGTTATATTAGTTTAGATGGAATAAGTGGGCTGAACGTGTTAACATAATCCAGTCACTGTCCAAAATTAAACTGCTGGACAAAATTCAAGTATGACATACAGAAACCTCAGCCTGCTTAGTACTATGGCTTTAACTGTTTAGCCAAAAATGGCTAAACAGTTAAAGCATTTGATATATAAAATATTAAATAAAGCCTTTCATTTTAGCAACATCTCTTGTTCTTAACCTGAAAAGAATTTTTAAATGAAAAAAAAAAAAAGATATGGGGTCATATGAGAGGTGGGGAATGGCAGAGGATTGCAGGCAAGGGCAGGTGCAATTAACTTGCAGTGGAAGTCAAAAAAGCAAATAGAATGTTAGGAGTCATTAAAAAAGGGATAGAGAATAAGACAGAAAATATCTTATTGCCTCTATATAAAACCATGGTACGCCCACATCTTGAATACTGTATACAGATGTGGTCACCTCATCTCAAAAAAGATATATTGACATTGAAAAAGGTTCAGAAAAGAGAAACAGCAATCATTAGGGGTTTGGAACGGGTC